ACATTTTCTCTGTGGTCTGTATGTGATTTTGAAAATTCATTTCCATGTTAAGAATTTGAACATTTTTATTTAATAAAATACATTGCAAAATTTTTATTAATGATTTACTATCCATCTTAAATCTACCATTTTGTGATTGTTGTCTCCAGGTTTCTGTGGGAAGAGACAGCTGGGGCAGACCTGTGTTACTTATAGTTAAATGACTACAGGCTTGCTTTGCCTTTTATACACGGAGATTTGTGCCATGGATCATATCCAAACTATGGTGCAGTAAATAAAAGCAGAGATCAAGTGGCAACAGGAGGCCTATGGTAAAGGCCACCTGAGAGCGCCCTTCAACCACGGAACACTGAGGTGTGGCTGCAGAGCAGAAAAGAAGAATTGCTTTGGTCCCAGGACTCCTCCCAGCATAGAGTTTCTGTGAGGATCTCCTAAAGGGAGCTTATGCAAAAGACTCTGGGGAGGAAATGCAACATCTGCTCATAAGACTCAGGAGGGTCTTCGCAGATGGGAGCTAGTAAGCCCTGAAGGTCTTTCAGGACAGAGACACCAGAATGCCATAGGCTCTGCCTGTGTTCTCAGAATATGGGGCAATTCTGATTGCTCTGTGTCCACAGTGCTGGAGAGATAAAAGCCCCTTGATGTGTTGTGTGTGGTCAGACCCTATGGCACTTTATCCACTGCATCTCTCTTGCCAAAGAAACTGGATAGACAATGGGTGGTAAAGTCTCAGTGTCCTTAGTTAACATTTCTTAGGAGAACCTCCTATGCTATTGAATGCTGCAGACACTTGCTCTTCTTACTGTCTTCCTCCTCAACCCCCGCCTCCCCACAGCCTGCCAGATTAATACGATAATTTACCTAATAAAAGCTCTTGGAGCCCAGAGCTCCATGCCCATAGGGATCACCAGATCACCACATGAGAGTGCCTTGGACCCCTAGATGCATGCTGTAAAATTCTATTCTTGTGGCTTCGTTTTTATTCCTTTTCTCACTCCCTCGTCACTGCCAGAACACAGGGCACCCATGCGCAGGGTTGGCCTGGTTCCCAACAGGTTTCTCCTTCCTTCTTAAAAAAATTGTATTTATTGGGAGCCGGTTAATGTCACGGATTTTCCTAGGCATAAGCACCCCAAGTAATGATTCCCAGACCTGTCTTGATCCAAATGTCATGCTGGAAAACAAAATCATTTTACCATGACAGGTCTGGTAATAGTAATGCTTATTGCATTGGGCATGCATTCATCAGCTAAATGTATATAGAAGAACTTTCAAAGCTAAAATGAGTTCTCTTAATCCTTCTCTCTGTTTTAGGACATGCTTTTCCAGGAAATTAAAGATTTAGAGAATCATTTTTGTCTGTCTCACCTTCCCAGGGGCAGAACCATTTTTTTAGTGTTCTAAGGTGTGAGTGCATGGTGGTAGGATTCCTAAACATTAATCCTCGGTTTCCTCCTGTACCTTACTCTGTCCCTTTATCTTTCCACATTGCTGTAAATCATATTTTTCTCTCCAGGTGTATGAGGATGATAAATAGGTGCCTAATGGAGCACCCAAGTGTGATGAGCCCTCTCACGGTGGAATGGAGTGAGAAGCTTTCTTTCTGACCTCATATATTGAATGCTGTATTCAGTCGTGGTTTTATATACTTTACTTGCATTAATCCTCATATAACCCCAGGAGATAAATTAGTATAAATATTCTCCATTATAGGTGAGAAAGTTGAGACACAGAAGAATAAAAACTCTTCCAGGATCAACCAGTAAAAGGCAGACCTTGGGCTTGAACCAGACAACCTGGCTCAGAAATCAGTTTTCATTAATACCATCTGTGTTTTCAAAGATTTGTAAACACTTTGACAACGCATGTCAATTTTAAGCTTTGAAGAAAAAAACACCATTTTTCACAACATCTCTCGAATCCTATTGGTCCCCACTATAAAGATTAAATCCCAGGCTGATGACACTGTGAGGCCACATGGCCAGCTGTGCTGGAAGCCTGGTCAAGGCCAGAGCCTGGGTTTACAGAGAAGAAACAAACAACCAAACAAGGAGACTTGCTCTGTCTTCCTGACTCATTCCCTCTCCCTTTTGTTCTCCCAGTCCAACCTCAGGTGACTGTGTATCCTGCAAAGACCCAGCCCCTGCAGCACCACAGCCTCCTGGTCTGCTCTGTGAGTGGGTTCTATCCAGGCAGCATTGAAGTCAGGTGGTTCCGGAACGGCCAGGAAGAGAAGGCTGGGGTGGTGTCCACAGGCCTGATCCAGAATGGAGACTGGACCTTCCAGACCCTGGTGATGCTGGAAACAGTTCCTCAGAGTGGAGAGGTTTACACCTGCCAAGTGGAGCACCCAAGCGTGATGAGCCCTATCACAGTGCAATGGAGTGAGCAGCTTTCTGATTTCATGAATTTCTCACCCACCAAGGAGAGGACTCTGCTAATCCCTGTGTGTCAGGTTTCTCTCCCACATCAGATTGTCATTTGCTCCATGTTCTCATCTCCTTCTGCCCAGGTTACTAGGGGGAGCCCTTTAATAGTTTCTAGGACATACCTAATAGCCCATAGAAAAGCAGTCATTCCTACCAGGAAGGAGAGGCTGTCCCTCTTTTGAACCCTGCCCCATAACGTCACAGGTCAGAGTCACCTGCCCTCTCTGGGCTCCAGGCCCTTTCTCTGGGTCTGAGACTGTGTTTCTGCTGCTGTTGCTGTGAGTTGTTTCTTGTCAACTGAGAAGAGGAAAGCTGTAGGGGCCTTCCTGACATCAGGGGAGTCCAGTCTCAGCTCTGCCTTTTCGAGCTCTGTCACTCTAGACAAAGTACTTAACCTCATTGAGTCTCACATGTTCTGTTGATCAGATGCTGAAGTCTTGCCTTACATGAAGGCTATAATATTTGAATGAGTTTGATGCCTGAACTTTGTAATTGTTTAGTGTGGTTTGAAAATCTTTTTTTCTCCAGAAATGACCAGTTATTTTAGTTTTTGCAGGGCAGCCGTCTTCCCCATTTTCAAAGCTCTGAATCTTAAGGTCTTAATTAAAGAGGTTTAATTTGGGATCAAAATCACTAAACCTGGCTTCCTTTCTCAGGAGCAGTCTGAATTTGCACAGAGTAAGATGCTGAGTGGAGTCGGGGGCTTTGTGCTGGGCCTGCTCTTCCTTGGGGCAGGGCTGTTCATCTACTTCAGGAATCAGAAAGGTGAGGAGCCTTTGGTAGCTGGCTGTCTCCATAGGCTTTTCTAGAGGAGGAACTATGGCTTTGCTGAGGTTAGTTCTCAGTATCTGAGTGGCCCTGGATAAAACCTTTCTTTCCCCAAAAGACCTCCAATGTACTGCTAATCCAGAAATCCTCAGTGTCAAAGCATAATAGCCTGTGGCCTGTGGAGATAAGAGAAAGGTAAACAAGTAGAGGTTCTTTGGTTTGAGATCCTGGAGTAAATTAAGAAAGAGCCACTAAGACAAATGCAGTTACACTGGATCCAGTGCTCGACACTTCATGCTTCATGGGTCCCATGGTCTGTTTCTGCTTCTCTCTGCCCTGGTTGGTGTGGGTTGTGGTGTTAGAGAAATCCCAGGTGGGAGATCTGGGGCTGGGACATTGTGCTGGAGGACAGATTTGCTTACCTATCTTTTAAGTGGATAACTTTTCCTCATTTTCCTAGGACGTTCTGCACTTCGGCCATCAGGTAATACCTCTTAATTCTCTTTTAGAAACAGATTTGGTTCCCCTGGAATGATGGTAGAGGTGATAAGGCACAAGACAGAAATAATAGGAAAGACTTTTGGATCCAAGTTTGTGATCAGACAATTTACACAAAACTCCTCCTCTCCACCTAGAAAAGGCCTGTGCTCTACTATAGTGTTGGCTCAGGTAGACTAAGGAGCTTGATTTTCAACTTCCTGCAGTGCTCTCATCTGAGCCCCTGAAAGAGGTGAAAAGAAGCTGTTAGTACAGCCAGGTCTGAACACACCACTTTCCTCTGTCTCTGCAGCACTCCTGAGCTGAAGGGAAGGTGACCACATTCAAGGAAGAACCTTCTGCCCCAGCTTTGCAGGATGAAAAGCTTTCCCGCTTGGCTGTTATTCTTCCACAAGAGAGAGCTTTCTCAGGACCTGGCTGCTACTGGTTCAGCAGCTCTGCAGAAATGTCCTCCCTTGTGGCTTCCTCAGCTCCTGCCCTTGGCCTGAAGACCCAGCATTGATGTCTATGCCTCAAGGTCAAATTTGTGCTCCCCTTTACCTAACCCTACAACCTCCCATGTGTCTGTACTCACCCTGTGCCACAAACATGTTACGTTATTAAATTTTTTGCAAACATGGAGTTAAAAATCATCTGTCCATTTGGCTTCAAGGACAAA